AAGCAGATGGTACGTATCTTAAAGATTGCGAAATGTATGATAATTCATTCGAATTTTTTAATAAGACTTCTTTATTATTAAATAATGTGAATGATAAAACGAGTATTAATTTAATCGATTCTTTATCTATATTTAATTCATCCAATCTCGTATTCTGAATAGTAGTGATTCTATGTGCAATATGAAAGAAGACCTTAGTTATCGTTCATCTTATTGTTCGAAAACATTATATGTATTGATGATTGCACAAGCTAAAGCAGGAGATGATATTTCCATCTTCCATCTATGTACATATTACGTTAATATGATAAGGCTTTAACTATGTATCTATTATGATATGAATTCTGTTCAAAGTTATAAAAAATCTTCGTGAAGGAAGTGTTCGAGTAAAGTAGTAAGTTTAATCTTTATTCTTAATGTTTGGCGATTATTCTACTAACGTCCTACAAAATGGCTGAAGGGATTATTTATAACTTTCAAATACAAGTTGATACCCAAACGTTATCCTAACAAAATTAACATAGATTCAATATTATAATTATAAGTATTACAAATATTGATTTTAATATAATTAATAGCTATTAATATGTATACTATACAACTTAAACATAGTATCAGATTTCCACAATTTTATACCGGCAATATACACAGGTACCCTAGTTTATAGATAATTACATGAAAATGATTGTAAGGGTTATGGTATATTATAATTAATAAATAATACAGCAAAGATGGCGCCACGTGTAACAATAGTTAGATTTTTCTTTTTGGCTTATTTATTAAGGATTACCAAAAAAACTTAAAATTGCATCTTGAAGTAGGTAGGTACAAAGCCAACAAAACAAAAATGTAATTTTTTCATTCAAAAATTAAAATTAGAAAACTTTTTAGCTTTTTGAGATATTTTTGATGTATTTTTGACATACACAATAATGTTTGAACCATTTTATATATAAAGTATTTTAAAAACACGATGAATGGAACATTACTAAGCACGTATTCACTACCCACTTAAGACAATACACTTGAAAGTATCCACGGAAACGGGTCATTTCAACATCAGTAACAAAAGATACATCTGCTTTTGTTTACAAGACATGTTAATTGTCAGACGAAAATACCGGCGCCAATTAAGGTTAACAGGCTAACAGGTTGTGAAGGCTACATTATATAACGGAATTATAAACATGTAAAACATAATATAAGAACTGTAATGCATTATTATATGTAATGAATTTTTTTCACGTGCTTCATCATATATGGATGAATAAAGTTCATATGGACAAGGTTGAATCACCTTTAGGATTACCGCCGTACATCCTTATCGCCGGCCTTGAGTTTGACCGGCCCTCACTGACGTCTACTTAATGATCTGTCAATTTAATGACAGGTATTTTTATACAGATAATATTATTCCAGGATGGAAAACACTTTTTATAATCTGTGCTTTATGTTTTTGCAAAAAAATTCACGTTATTTAAGTCAAAACAGATAAATAACAAGGTTTAGTCCTTAGTGACATTGATATTATACTCGATCGGAAGCTATAAAATACGAAATATTTACGATACATGACAAACAAGACAACCAAACCAAAGTTAAATTAATATTTAAAATACTTTTTAATCTATACTTTTTTAAACAGCAAAAAAACTTTTTTTTATACGATCATATAATAGAAAATTTAAAAAACCGCTCGAAAACAGCAGCTTTATATATTTAATTTCTTGCAATAACTTTGCAATACCGATCCATTTCTTAAACCAATATTTCAGCCAGACCGAGCTATTTAGATTAGAGTAAGTAAAATTTCAATGATCTGGGAAAAGGATTCAAATCACTTTCATATTAATAGTCTTTAAATACTTCTTTCTTAATATTTTATATACCCAACACAATATCGTCTAGAATTTTCTTCGGCACGCGACCCTGACTTGTCTATATTGCCCTTGCTATCACATACGAAGGCCGAACATCAGCTGACCTTAGGCTCATTGACCGCAAGTTTCCGGGTTAGGGCAACGCCTTAACCAATTCCTATTAATATGTATTAAAAAAAACAGCCTGCTATATATAAATAGATAATAAAATTATAACAAGTTGACAGTTTCTGGTTATACTTTTTGTATCAAATACAAATAATATTCTGCATTACTTAGTTGCATTTAAATTTCAATTGTATGCTACGTACTAACACTTAACATTTTATTAAATACGTTATATGTAATTGTTAAATCATGAATTGTAAAATGAATATACCAACAAAATAACAACCACAATAGCAGCCTTCAACCAAACGTTATGTTTATCGAATGGCTTTAATTATTTTATGTACCACTGGAAGTAATTACATTGACCAAAACTATTAATACTTAGAAACATTTGAAATTCAATATACATATTCAATTGATTCATACGAAATAATAAACATAATTGCAAGAAATAATTCTAAACAAGAAACATGATAAATAAATCATGTTAACTTATGAGTTATTGAGTAAATAAATTGTACTCGAAGGTCGACGAACATAAACTATTCGTTGAGTAACCTCGTAAGATCACTTGTTCTTCCGGTTACAAGACGAGTGGGGAAAACAGTAGTTTCCTACACAACTCACTCATATCAAAGTATTTATGTCAAGAACTCGCGGACAGTTGCTAAGGTCGACAATTCACACAGATAAATCATTTAAATGTATATTACATATCAATAACACGATACCAAACGGTCATGATGTTTCAATAAACACTTATTTAAATACATGCGGGTCATTTCAAGTCTTTATGTATACTATTAATTTAGTGTAAATTGTTAGGATGCGTTCAGATTAAATGCGGGCTTGGATTGCGAAATCACGAAGTTTATGTTAAAATTTATAATAGTTACTTCTAATGTTTCGTTGTAAAGATAATATAAGCATTTGCTTATATTAAGATGTATCAATTACTTAATATTTCATTTGCATATATAAAAATAAGTACCAAGGAGGAATATCACGCTATCAGGCTAACTTATATGTCGCTCATTACTTTTCGATTATGATTAGACATAAAAAAATCGATTCCGCTTCACCGAAAATATTTTCTATAATAAAAGACTGGCTGAAATTAAAAAAAAAACTTTATTTTATATTTAAATTTATAAACAAAAAGCTACTACTGTATTCAAAGAATAAGCGATTGTTATAATTATATTTTGAACCACGTTACTTTGCATGGAAAAACCATATTACTTTAAAGTTTTATTGGACTACTGACCGACCTCTCGCAGACGTCCGCTTCCCCAAGACAAATATAGCAACGTTAAACGAACAACATTCCAATATGAGCTGTTGGTCAATTTTACTAAATAATTCGATGTCATTATATCGTAATAGCTTTTCGCCCGCAGCTTCGCCCTCGTGGAGTTCGGTTATATCGCGTTTCCAAGAAAACTTTTCAAAAATCTAGGATAAAAACTATCCTATGTTCTTTCTCAAGGTCAACTCTATCTCTGTACCAAATTTCATTACAATCAGTTCAGTGGTTCAGACGTGAAAGCGTAACAGACAGACAGACAGAGTTACTTTCGCATTTATAATATTAGTAAGGATGAGCTTATCTTTATCATTAAATATTTTAAGATGTATCAGAATATAACATACAAATATGTATTTTTAAGTATGGATATTACTTTTTAAATTATATTTTGCAGAAAGATGATAATAAAAGATAAAAAATACCTTAATCTAATGACGACGCCATTGTTAAAAATTGAAAAAATAAGAATGTACATATTATTTTATCTGTGTCAAGTACGTTACTCACATGAATAACTATGTTTATTTATATGCATTTATACTGCATTTTTATTATGGCAATATTAACTTTATATTGTTTCGGTATAATCTGTATACTTATCCCAAGTTTGATAAACACACTCTATACACTGCGTTTACAGTTTTTGATTTATTATTCTTCGCATATATCAACGTAAACCTTATAATGAGAAACGCTAAACTTTCTGTATGTAGTTTAATGAAAAACTCGTGCTAAGCACATTGTTCCTCAAATTACTTTTGTTACTTACAATCTTAATGAGAATTGTAATTCAAGGCTGAAAGATACTTATTCTCTTGAATATTTATTTTTATTCATTCTACTCCACAATAATTCCAATGCTTTAAAATCACCGTGTATTTGACTTTAAAGAATGTTTCTTTTAAAACCTTTACAATCCGTCTATTAATATATTTAATTCCAGTAATTTGCCCGTCGATCAACTATGAAATTATTAAATCTATTATAGTTTCCTTACAAGAATATGATATGAAACATAATCATTAGGTATAGTAATTAAATAAAAATATTGCAACTAACATCCTATAACGAGCAAACTATATAAAACCCGATAATTTAATCAAAAAGGTCAACTATTCCGGAGAACTAATTTAAATATATAAGCGTTTATTTATACAAGTTAAATTTATTTAAACACCTTTATGGAATATCAGTTTTAATGTGAATTGTTGGTTATTTATGAGTGATATCTTAATTATTGATTTCTGATTAGGTACTTATATTCTCTTGTAAACTGATTCCGTTTTTCTTTCCAATCTTTAATAATACTTGAACTTGTCTCGCTTATAAGTAAACACATGCTCGTGACTATATCTGCGTCACTTAATGCATGTAATGAAACCTAATTAATAAATGAGATTAATTTGACGTTATATACATAATCTATTAAATAGATATGTATTATGAAAATTTTATTTTAGATACTTCTTTAGAATAGTACTTATAATTTAAATGAAACTACATACATATTTGTCTAATATACTACGTGTGCTTTATTTTTTGTAAAAAACTGCATACTCCCATACGTTTTTACAAAACAAAATCATGCATAGTACTTATATCAGACTAATATTAGTTTCATTTAATTGAATAAAGCTCGCGATAGTCTTGGATTTCATTAGTACTTATAATGTTTATATTTATTATAGGCTGGGTGAGCTATGAAGGGGTGGTTCGACGGTTTCCGCGAGGAAGGCGGCCCGACCCTGTACGCTTATCACAACCGCACCGCCGTCGCCGCTGACGTGCCCGCGGTCGCTCTGCTTGTAGCCGCCCTTACGTTATACCTCGCGTTCCTTACTATATTCCCTGGTATACGGAAGGAGGTAAGGCAACAACCATTACTATTTAAAATTATAAATCAACTATTTTAATATGTTATTCTTATTATTTCCAGCGTTTTTCCACGTTCACCATCGTAACACTTAGCCTCTTCGTTGGTACTGTGATTTTAGGTGAGTGAATTGAATCTATACACAAAAGTATTAACAAAGTCAATCATCAGCAAGGACAGGAGATCTCATACAAATACATTGTTACATTTGCCTTCAAGGTTTTAGAGTATTGAGGATAATATATTTAGTTTTTGAAACTAAAACATAACGATCGCATTATACACGCAATGTTGTAAGAATAACAAATTACGTGACAGACTTATAGCTATCAGACACATATCTTCATATTTTGAAACTTCTTAGTTTAAACAAAGATTTATCTTACATGTAGTAAGTGGGCGGATCAAAGAAGTATATTTTTATACTTGATTAGATTACATAGTTTTTAAGGTTCTGTATACAAAGGATAAAACAGGATTCTATAACTAAGATACCCCCGTATAATAAATAACAGCAAATATTAATAAACATAATAAAATATTTATTTGTGGGACTCTCATACAAAAACAATTTTTATCCCTTATAAAACCTTGATTGGCCGACCGGACTTGTAGGATTATACTTATTTATTTACTTATAGAACGAAACAACACCAACTAAAAAGCAGAATTTCTTTAAACAACTTTATTTATACCATAATATGTATCTTATTTGATCAATTCTAAGTATATAATATGTGTCATTAATATCAGTATGTAAGCACGGATCCTCGTGGCACGTGGCAGGAGCGCGTGTAGCCCGCGCCGCTTACCGCGCCTTCTCAGCTGAGCGACTTGACTGCTGGCTCGCCGTCCACGTCGGCTTGGGACACGTCAATGTCACTCTTAACGGTAATACTTAATATTCAAATAAGCTCCTTGAATTTGGGTTGTTTTAGATCTACCAACAAAGTTCCTTATTATGACTTCAGTCGGAACTGTTAAAATTAATGAAATTGCTAAGTTAATCCCGGATCGTGTCTCCTCTATTCTACAAAATACTAGCAGAATATACTGTACACGTCTTTGCACGGATGAAGGCCATATTTAATACAACCTGAACCTCAGACAAACTTCAATAAAGTACACTAAGTCATTGTCATTATATTTCTAGCATTATCGTGGGGTAACGTCTCGAAAGGCGATCCAGGAATCGATTACAACGAACAGTTTCGATGGGAAGAAGCTGGTGCTATCCAGGAATGGTATCGAGCGGGTTTATTACGAGGTCTACCATACCCCGTACTGTCTGTAGCTGAACATTTTGCAGCCGAACACGAGGGATTCGAATGGGGTGCTAAGTATAGAGCCGCTGGTTACACTACCGCCACGCTTCTTTGGTATGACAATACAACTATTATATGTGGCGTTGTAGAAGAAATTTCCACTAAAAGCAGATGAATTTTTCAAAACCAATGAGTATTCATCAAAAAAATCCCATATCAATACAAGCTAGCTCCACAAAATCTATCAGAATTTCTTGGTAGAAGTCTCAACGCCACAAATCTTTACTATCTAGACAATTTATTTAAGACCATGATTGGTAACTGGTATTATTCCAGGACGGCGCTGGCGTTATGGTTATTGATGAACCTCCTGCTAGTTGTGGTACCACGTTATGGTGCATACGCGATGGCCTCTCTGGGAGTAACGCTATGTGCTGCGGCCGGCGGATACTGGGCGTCATTACCACACGCGCCGCTGGTCGTACGATTGGATGGAGCCATGCTATTCTTCTCGATGGGCTGGTGTTTCTGGCTAGTCCTGATCGCTGGTCAGTTATATTTATAGAACCTAAAACTATGGATTCCAAAATATAATAAAACATTTTTGTTTATTTCAATACTATAAAAAAAATAAGCTTAAATAAAAAAATACGCCAAAATTATCCAAGATAAATTAGATTGCAAAACAAAAGGTATATTTTTATTTTAATTATAAGGAATATGTTTAGGTTTACTTTTTTTTTGGAAATCCACAAATTTTTTATTTCTTTTGAAATCTGTGTATGATAAAAAACAACTGAGCTTGAATAAAAAAAAGTCAAGAGCTAAATACTAAAATATTCAACTTTTTAAATTCACAATGTGTGTTACGTGAAGAAAACTTACATTTGCACTCATATATTTCAGGTGCCATATGTCTGGTTGTGGGTCTACTTATAGCAGCGCTGGACTTGGTGTGGCCTCACAGATTTTCGACTGTACTTGAAGTAGATTACGACACACCATATGACAGACACGTCCTCATAGTGGACAGCCGACAAAGAGCTCGTCCACAAACACAGAGCTCCTTGCCATCCAGAATACTGAGGTTAGGATTAAACAAAATACTATCTACATATAAATGAACATCGCTTAATTCTTAGTCAATTATTACTTTTACATTATCTGTGGTATCATAATATTCAACCTTTTTTTAAATAGACTTATTAATAGATAGAATTCCAAGCATATTAATATATTATTGATTTATTGTTTATTATTAAGGCGGTTATCATCAAAGACCCGAGATCCAGAACGTCAGGTGTCAATGTCAGTTGTAAATGAAAGTTCTGGTCGGGACAACCCCGCTTACCAACACGAACAGAGAAAACCTAACTCGCCGTGGAGGTATCCACTGTTTAGACGGCAGATTAATAGGTGGGTGGTCATTATTATAAATATTTTTAATATATTATAATAAAAGAAAAAATATGTTATATGGTATAAAAAAATTCTGAATTAAATTGATACTTGTGGCCAAGTAGCGCTTTCTACTAGACAACCATAGATCTAAAGATGATTCAAATGTTTTAATGTATATTATACAATAATAGTTTATAAAATACCAAAAAAACATAAAACTAGTTCAAACTTCAAATATTCTGATAATAATTGCGATCGGAAAATATCAGAATGTAGAATATGAAAGAATTATTTTTCTTCATCAGTAAACAGTAATCCAAGTAGGCAATTATAAATATATAATAGCAGCAGGTCAATAAAAATAAATCAATATCTATTGACCTGCTGCTTGCAATAGATTATTTTCGTTACAACAAACTAATATTATTTCAGAGTTGACTCTGCCTCAAGTATGGGATCAAGCATAAATGGTAACAGTTCCGGAATAAAGATGTCTCCACTAGTAGGTGGACCTTCATCGAACACAATTTCAACGACCCCACAGAGGTAAAATATGGAAGACTAATTAATTATATGAATTATTATACCACACATTTACCGTCATTTTAATTATTTAGCTGGGATCAGATCTTGGTAGTAAAATTTTGATGTCACTTTCGTTATATGTATCTCATTGTAGTAGGATAATATGACTAAATGTACCTTATCCCTACTAATATTATAAATGCGAATGTAACTCTGTCTGTCTCTCTGTTACGCTTTCACGCCTAAACTACTGAACTGATTTTAATAAAATTTGGTACAGACATAGAGTTGATCTTGACAAAGAACTTTAGTTTTTATCCCAGACTTTTGAAAGGTTCTTGGAAACGCGATATAACCGAACTCCACGCGGGCGAAGCTGCGGGCGGAAAGCTAGTATTTGATTAATTTTAACCTACGTCCCTAATTGCTAGGACATTAGTTATTGCACCACAGAGTATCCGTCTTCAAAAGAGTTACTAACTTTATAACTAATTTATATAAAACCAGTTTATAGCTAGTAACGTAATAGACAAAATTACTTTCGTAATCTTAATATTAGTGTATATTTGTCAGATATCATGAATTCACTAACAGTATAAGTGTGCTTACTACTACTTCGTAACTACAAACAAAACACAGATAGTTTCCAGTTTTTATTCATATTTAATGAGATCTAAGATTTTCGCGTGTATTCATTTAAAGGAAACTTATATTTTCACACATCTGCCCGTGATCACGGTTGCTACAAAGTAGCGAAACGTCGGGAGTATATATAGTTTTAGAAATAATAAAATAATGCATAGTAATCCGAAAATATTAGTTCCATTTATTCATGTATGTTCTTCTGATACTATCTTGTACTAAGATATACGAATTTATACTGTCTGTCTTACGTTTGACAAAACGAACACGTACTAGGAGTTCTGTTTAACCGTTTAACATTTAAACTATTCAATATATTAATTATAAAATTAATTAATAATAATTTCCAGATACCGTCCACAAATACCAGCAGCGGAAAGAGTTAAAGACATGTGGTGACCTCTGTATCAATATATTAACCTATTATAAAAGATCTCTTTGTCAAAGACGGTTCTTGTTAACAGCAAGTATTGAACGGAAAGGCTTAGAAAACTAGTATTATATAATTATTTAAAACCTGATATAGATTTATGGTATGGTATTATAATTTAGACGTGTAAATATGTACCTTTTATTATAAGCAAATTATTTAAAAAAAGAATAACATTACCGACCAGTGTCATAAGATGTATGGGATTTTATACCTCGTTTTGATTTAAACTAATTTAGCATTAAGTAAACGAATACATCGACACAAGTGAATACTTTGTGCCATTTGTAAATATATTATGTAAGTGAATTAAAATCACAACTAGAAACCGTATTACAATTTGTTTATACATACATTACCAGTAACATCTTTTTGGAACACGCTTGACTTTTTTTATCTACATACAGTTCCAGAGACTGTCAAGTTCAAAATTATTAAAAAAACGCATAAAGAAGTCATTTAGTATTAAATTAAATTTAAGTTATTTATTCTGCATAACTATATTTGAGTATGCAGGCCAAAATTAATTAATATTAATTGATTACTAATTCTTTGATACCAAAAATATCGAAGTTTGTTAGGAAATGGGAGTCATAGATTTCCAATACAGATTAAAATTAATTTTAATAGTTTTACCAATTCTGGAACCTCATATCCTTTTGTTTCATTGTTTACTTGTTGAAGCTATCTTCATCACAATTTCAGATTCATCGTTCAATTACTTTTAAGTTACAGTTTTGAAAGAATTAATCATTGTTGTGAAAATATGTTTGCAATAGTGATTATCAATAATGTTTACCTTGTATAGATACGTTATAAAAAGTGATAGTAAGCAAAAAAATATTTATTGTGATAAAAATATACCAATATAAAATTAATTTATTTTCATTTACCCCATAATAATAACCCACATAATGAGGATATCTGATAATTAAGTTTAGTGAGTAAGTTGATGTTATTAAGAGAATTTATCCAGAATAACCTTAAATGAAAACAGAGTTTTAAAAAAACAAGTATATTTTAAATAATGAATAGACAAGTTATCTTTACAGTGTTTGATTTTTCAATGAATACAAACAGTAAAAAAATGCACGAATAAAACTAAATTCAACAATAAAATATATCATTACAGTTTTGTATAAAATGTTTCTAAATAACTATAAAATTCACGCACTATTGAGTTTGTTCTTTAACAAGATGCTCAAGGTTCAGTTGACATAAAAATGCATTCCAATTCACGAAGCCATCGGTGATGAATGTCTCCGCTTCGGCCCAAAGTTTACACTAAAAACGTAAGGACCATTATTACATAGAAAATTCTTGTTACGATTTAGATTAAATAATTATTTATTATTTTTCTCTGCTTCTCTCTCTTACTATCTGTCTCTGTCTCTCTTAATTTAAATTAACTAAAACATTTATTTAAATATCAAATCGGTGCAAGTGTAAGTGACTCTACGACAAGAATATTAACTAAAACGGATTAGCCATCAAGTTTATTTTATTATAATTGTTTTAAAATCATTTGAGGATAATACATATTAAAGTTAGCAAAAAAACTATACTTGCAAATTGTGTTATATAATTTTACCTCCGTATCTTTTACTGGTGGTGCATGACGAACGACCTTCTCGTAGTCAGCTTCGGAGAGATTGAACACAGGGCGTGTTTGAAAATCAAGGAAATTCATGAGATCTTCCCACTGAATATTGCAGTTTTCATCCTTTTGAAGCCTGATTTGTTTGAAATATGCATCAAAATTTTAATTGAAACCGTTTACTAAGATTAAATTTAAAAAAAAATATTCAAAAATCAATTTATAAACACACCTACAGGATACAGCTCAAGTCGAACATTTTTTTGTAGTTGCCCAAAGTCACTATACTTACACTTGTAGCATACAGTCCATGAGATCACAATTTAAAGGCAGTCTATGAGCTCGAAGTAATTGTCTTAGACGAGTGGGTGATAGAACTCCTGAGCCATCAGGATCCGCGTGGAGTAGACCTTCACGAAGACGAGAACGGTCGTCCCACAAACCTCGAGTTAACTCCGTAAATACTAATGACCTAGAGGATTATTTATACCCGTTATTTAAATCTTCTTGACATAGATATGTATGGGCTATCGCTTGAATAGGCCTAAACAGATTGAAACTAATTCTCACCTTATCATTTCCCGTCGTGGACTTCTTTCTTTACCAGGGTCACCGCGAAAATAGCGAATGAGTGTTATAAATTCGTGTTCAGTCATCTTGTCACACATAATCTCTTTCATTGCTTGTCTGTTGAAACAATAAAGTTTAATAAGTTATCCTTGTTCCTGTGTAATACTAAAATTATGTATATAGGATTAAGATATTACTTGAAACATCTGACAGACATCAGTTCTTTTTTATCTGGTACAACAGCTTCCATATATTTTGACACAAAATTCTTGTATCCATTGTCTTTAGAAGCTAATATACGCCGTATTTTGTCCATTATCAAAGTTATGTTCGCCATGGGATACTAAAAATTAAATGTCTTAAAGATTTTCCTTAAAAAAGTATACTTGTGAAAGAATTCTGCTCACCTCGTTGGCGTGAAGTTCCATGTACCTAAGAGCATATTCGTCAGCAGAAATGAGTCGGAAACAATGTTTATTGATGACAAGTTCGTTTCCAACCCACATATCTTTGTCAGTGTACGCGGGAGGCTCTTTTGGCACAAAGAAGTTAACGTCGGGTAAATACATTTTTTCCCGTCGAAAGAACTTTCCGGTCTATTAAAAATTTTGTAGTAAATTAAAAATAATTTATTTTGCGGATTAAACATATTGTTTCTATAAATGTTTCTATAAAACAAAGCAACCTTAAATCCTGAATTACGTTCACCAAGTTCAAAAATGCCGATGGTATCGTCACATAAGAAATATTTAACTATAAAATACCGTCTCGCATCTACAGGATTGTCACTTATCAGTCTTGCGGCAAATCGAAGAATATGGGAATCAAACCCAATTCTGGAAATTAAAAAAAAAGCATAAATTTTCTGAATAAGATAGTAGATAGAATGAGAACCAAAAAAACTAATTACCTGTCTTTATTTAGAAACTTTATAAAATCTCTATGTGGAGCTTTCGGCTCAACTGTGCGGCAGTTTTCTGCGGAATCATCATAAGATCCGTAGCCATTCCACGGTGGTAGCTGACGTTCAGCCATGTTCGATGATATGCACTCAGTACTTTCATCTTTGGGCACAGGTAGCGGGGTAAAAGCATCTAAACAAATATTATAAATAAAGTATCTGCATTTGGATTCCGTTGGATTTTTATACTGTAATTAACTTACCAAATCCATAAGTGACACGGTAGTATTCCTTTGTAAATGGATCGCAATCAGTAAGCACTACTTTACGACCAAACACATTCACCACAGCACCTATAGTCAAATCGGCGGGACTATAAGAAGGAACTTTAGGCCCTCCCGTCATTTCTATACGTGGTGGTATTTTCTGTTATAAAATTTAATTTAAAATGTCTTCTAAAATAAAATATTATCGAGTCATAGTTTGTAAAACTCACTCTAGGGAGCCTCATTCGTTTTAAAAACATCGGTCCCGCCTCCATTCCAGAATTTGGAGGCAAGACTTCCTTAATTTCCATCGTATCATCAGCAAGAAAATAATGTATCTCAAGAAGATGTATGGAGCCAAATTCAGATTCTCTGTCATCCCAGTAACCGTGAAATCTGCATGATATTGTTTGGAATAAATATATCTACTTAGTACTTCTTTTTTTTTTTGATGACGTAGTGGAAACTCTTTTTACGAGCCGTCCAACCGGCCTTGGTGGGGCCGGAAGGAATGTGTGAGGCTCGGCCTGGGCAGGCCCCTACTCACTAACTACTTACTTCTTTAACTTAGGTTTTATTAATATATACCTACCTTAAAACTTGTCTATCAAAATCAAGAAATTGTCGAAAGGGACGATGTTTCGGTGGGCGCGCTGTATCCGGAGTCCTCTGTAAATTAATTAGAAATAGTAGTAACAATATAAACAGGAACTAACTATAGACTATATCATACCTCAATTGCGTCCGGCCACGGTATTGGGTCTGGAACATTAATTCCAAGGCGATTCATAAACACTCTTGTGAAATTGTCACAATTGACGATCTATTTAAACAACAATTAATAGTGTAATTAATGAATAATACATTTACAATGGTATACACTCTTCTGTTAAATGCATTATGTACCTTAAACACCTTTCCAAAGAAAGTAACCTCACGTCCTACATTTAGATCTAATACGTCGTAATAAAGATCGTAGCTGAACGGAAGACGAATTCTTTGCCGGCTAATAAGTGTTCCTAAAAGATTAAATAAGTATTACATAATTCTAAAATTCTTAAATCTACATTAGCGTTTTTTATTATCGTTAACCTTGCGACAAGCCACTATTTTCAGTTCTTGGTTCCATCACTTTTATCGTCCCATCTTCTAAGTAGAAAAATATTTCGACTTTCCTTAAAATATGAGCAGCTGATCGCATTTCTTGGAGTGTTTGTTGGAAATAGGCTTGAAACCGCAAAATCTTAAATGAAATAGTTTAGAGTTAGATTGTAGCAGTCATAAATAAAGGTTTATTTCTGCTATTCTCGAAACTTTAAAGTCATAATTAACGTTCTTATGGTCTTAACTTTAGTTATTAGCTTTTATGCTACATACATGTTTGTCGTACATTATCCATGTAGGAAGATCTGGTGCCTGCTTTCGACCATATAACGAGGGTACACGATTGACTCCCTCTGCTTTATCTACCAACATGTTAACCTTATCGATAGATGTAAATATAGGCCGAACGCCGAAGTTCTTCTTGCCAATCTGAGACACATTTTAAATGTTAGGTATTAAAACAACACACTAATAATGAAATTTAAGATTTCATTTAAACACACTAATAACATTGCATTAATTTTAACTTATTTCATTCACAATAATTATAAGAAACAATTAAAATTGTGCTGAATGTTGTTTATAATCTGTGTTTCATACTATTTAAGTAAATCAAGTTCATGAAATAGCAATTTGTGAAGATCTGTTTAGGAAGGTACTATTTATAATCTAAATTAAAAATCAATGTTGCATTACCATGGGGTTTGATCCATAGCCAGGTAATAATGGTAAGCGAGGATTTCGAATAGCCATTTTCAATTCGAAATACACAACGATTCACTGAATAAAAAAATATATTAATATGCAACACTACCAAACGTATCAAAGAAACAAATGTATGATCAGAAAACAATAATATTGTTTATTTCCATGGTAACCAAATTAAAAATGAATTAAAAGTAGATTTTTTTAAGAGATGTTCTTCCTAATTCCACCGTAGATAGCAAAAGAATGGTGCTCTCTTTAAAAATAAATATCCCGTAATTAGTTAGGATAACATAGTTTTAGATGTCTACAAAATATTTAATATGAATCTGAATAAACAGGAATCCGAGGTTAAGTGATAAAAAATAAAGTACGTCAAAGTTTACCTGTCAAAATGACAACAGTTTATTTTGTTTTGCAAATTACATCTTCCTTTAAAAATAATTATACTAAACATTTTCAATTAATTAGACCAATAATACGTACACCATGATTGACGTAAATAATAAAGTTAATTCCTTTTTTATCTTCAACTCTACTTTCGGACCAAGGGAGGGTGAAGTATGTAACAAAAATAATCAAATAATTAGAACTTCATATTGAACAAAAATAAATTTGATATAATAAGATATTTTTCTCAGTGCAAGTATTTGAAAAATATGAAAAGGAATTTTAAATAATAACCTCATTAATATTAATTTTAGGAACTGAAAAGAATACTTTTCTTTCATCCAAATCAAGTTAGTGTTGATGCCCAAAAAATGCAAGTAGGTTTATGCGAAGCTGTTGTTAAATTCATGACGTAAGTTTAAACAATTGAACAAACTATGATAAGCTATAGATTTATATTATTTTTATTGCAAAGATTCTTAACAATTTAAATTAATAACATTTTAGAACATTTTCAAATGAACCATGTGAAGCTCTACAGACGCAATCAAAGAGGTATATTTTCTATCAACCTGAGAAGAATTTTTGGATGGTTCTGGTACTTTATTGAAAGTCTATTATAACTATAAATTTTTAATATAATATAATCCTTACATATATAAATATGTAAGCTTAAGAATTAATGTTACAAGAACATATTTTTTTAGGTAGTCAGAATTCCATATGCAGCTAAAACTCCTTCTACACCAGGGGAGAGTAAGGAGGTGGTATGTAGTCTTTACCTTCTTCAGAACCACATTACCACAAAGGATACTCTTTTAGCTACAAAATTTTTCTTTTACAGATTGAGACATCTGTTATATATAACTTATTAGTGTCAGCATACAAAATGTTCAGAATGTTTGTTGGTCCCTTTAAAGACATTCCACCTGAAGATATTTATACAAAATGTGAACAATTCTTTACACCTGTAAGTATATAAACCATAAAAAAAACTTGAATAAAATATTACCATCTTTAAACATTTATATCGTAACTAATGTTCTATTATTGTTTTAGTACATCATGTCCAGAAATATTGCAAATGATTTAAGTAATATTATACAAGGTATAAATTATTTGCCGCTAGAAAAGAATTCATTCTTTAGAGTGGTGTGTTTCATAGACTTACTGGAAATTACTTACCCGGATTTTAAATGTGTATCTTTTGTCTACAATGAACAGCTAATATGGTAAGAAATTCAGCGAATTGCTAAAATAACATAGCATAAATAAAATAGGATTTAATTATACATAGTAGCAACTCTCACAAAATTAGAACAATTAACTTAAGATAACAATCCTAACAAACTATATAGGGCTTAAATAAATTATGTACATATATGTATGAAAAATTGTGATATTAATTCCTTTGCTGTGAGTACTGTATTTGAAGAAAACATAACATATGTATATGATAACATAAAAAAAAAAGTAAAATAATTACTAACTCAAAGCTTGACTCGAAACTTTAATCATATAGATATTTAATCATAGCAGCCTTAATTATCAAATGATTATAACTTACCTAAATTAAATAACATAATTTAAAGAAATATTATCTGCTTGTATTCCTCTTAATCCATATTCCTTAGTAAATTCAATTGTATTGAATTTAAAGAGAGAAAGAGATACCTCTGTTATGTAATGTTTTTGTCACAGGAATGGACTTGCAACAAACGATATGTTAACATTATATCAATATTTAGTACAAACTTTACTTCCCAAACAAGTTGAGAAGGAAATACAAGGTGGAGCCGTAACAGCTGCAGTAAGACATGGCCGCTTTATAAGTCCCCCGGAAGGTATACGCACTTCGGAAGATCTTAAAAATCTACCTAAGGTGTACTTAATGAGAGAAGATGATACTGAAATGAAACAATATTATTTAATAATATATAGAACACTTAGTGCAACAGTCTGTTTCACCATTGATGGTGAGAATTTTTTTCATACATATTTCATACACTGCTTAACATAATTTACAAAATTACTACTTTTTCCCGCGACTTCGTCTACCTTAGTTTCAGAATTAGAAGTGTGTAGGTGACTGGGCGAACTCTATTCCTCCTTGAAAATAGTAGATAATATTTTGAATTTAATCAACTTATTTTATTTCTTTTTCAATCGGACGAAAAGTGTCCTATTTCCTTTTCCTAGTTCTAAGCAATTTCACCACCAATTTTTAGCCAAACACGTACAGCCGTTCTTGAGTTATAAATAGTATAACTAACACAATTTTCTTTTAAATATAAAGATTTCCAAATACATAAAATCGTTAATGGTTATTGAATATTTTTTTAGTCAACAATACTCTCGACCTAGATACATTCAAATCGTTAGATGCATTTATTGGGCCCAAACTGTCTACAATTGCATCATCTATCAGCGAGCAATGTGCACTTCACGCTTTACAAAATGCACAAATTTCAAGCTCGGAACACAAGTTTTTGTATTTCAATCGACTGAACCTGGCATGTAAAACTTCAGTGAGTATGTTTTAGATAGAGTAGAGAATGTTAATTAGTATTATATTAAAACTTTTGTTATAAAAATTATATTATACATTTCAGACGCCTGCATCACTCACGCCATCTACAGCAGTTAAACCAGAAGTTTTAAGTATTATAGCTGGTATACATGCTGATAGAAAAAGGTAATTATTATCAACTAGCTTTCCGCCCGCGTGGAGTTCGGTTATATCGCGTTTCCAAGAGAACCTTTCAAAAGTCTGGGATAAAAACTATCCTATGTTCTTTCTTGAGGTCAACTCTATCTCTGTACCAAATTTCATTAAAATCAGTTCAGTGGTTTAGGCGTGAAAGCGTAAAAGACAGACAGACAGACAGAGTTACTTTCGCATTTATAATATTAGTAGGGATTACATATAAAAGTGCTTCATGAATTTTAATTTCATATTATAATAATCTTTTTCAGTCTCGGGAATTACGGTGAGATTATAATAAAAACTCCCGACGAATACTGGATCACGGGAAAAAGTTCCAATGATAGAGAATTTTATGTTATAATACAAGAAAAAAATGCTAACTTAAAAGATATTGCAGGTATGTACTTATCTTGATATATAGTTTTCAAATTATATTTAATGAAAAAATGGTTACATAGAACTTGGTTTTCTAGTCTCTTAACACAATGGAAACTTAAAAAAAAGTTACTAAAATGTATAATCATGTTTTTTTTAACAGATGAGGTGAAAAGAGTATGCGAAGAGCAAATGAAAGGCATTTTCTTCTATCCTATTTAAAACCTCGGCATAACAATTTATTGTTACGTTTGGAATTGATGTCCATTAAGTAATAAATAAAACATATTGTTATAAAATATAACGTATTTATATTATTACAATAAAATAATACAGATAATAGATCTTATTTACAAATTATATGTAAACTTAACAATGAAGGAAATTTAATCTGTTGAAACTTTGTTTTCTTCTGTCCTTTTGAATTTTGCGTATATTTTCTTTAAGAGATCTTTATTTTCTACGCTCCATGACAACAGTACAAATAAAAGGCATACCATTCCAATTGCAATATGGGTTATCATATTTTTAGAAAAATGGTGTTCGGATGCTTTGCAGATACAACCAGCCAAAAACAATGTAAATAAAAATAATTTCCCAACATACAGTCCATGCAAAGGTTTATGATTTGTATCCTTATGTTTATCATTAATAAAATGTACACTATGCAAAATCCTTGCAAACATATTGATACAATTAGATATAATAAAACCAACTGGGCCTAAAATGTATGTCAATACATATGACAGTATCAGAAAACTTATTGAGAAGAATACCATTAAATAGTTGTAACTATTCAATTGGGCACTGGTCATTGTAGCAAATGTGTAACATTCTGTTATGCCATTGACAGCCATTAACACAATAGCAAAACAATGGCTCTGAAGTAATCTAACTGGTAATCCACTGGCTACAAACGCCTCTCCTCCATACAAAGTTAGTAATGTAGAAGAATAACTGAGTCCAAACACTAATACAATTAAGCCTATAGAACTAACAGTTTTACAAACTTGATACAACACTGTAGAAGATTCATGAATTTTGTTCTGATCTTGCTTATACAAGGGTAGATCTCGACTCACCATTTGTGTGAAATAAAAGTAACTGCTATCTTCTATAGGTCGAAATACAAATCTTGCAGCAAGACTTCCTAAGTTATTAACAACATCATAGGTGGCTTGTTCACTAAATGTCATAACAGGACTTGCTGACATCACATATTTCTCACCCTCAGTCAGAAGTTGTTTAACTACTCCTTGCTTAGCAAAACTTAATGTTAGAGTATTTAATTTTTTGTTAAAACATGTGTTTATAGAACCCAAATATTTTGGAAAGAAATCTCTCAAAGATATAAAGTTAAAATCTTCCATATCACTGAAAAGAGTATCCAGAGTTTTAGTAGACAGAAACCGTATCTTCAGAGCGCCTTTTGCATACAACGGCTTATATTTCATGTACCAATAGAAAAATATGTAATAAGATACAACTATTGCTCCAATACTAACAACTTGGGCTACCGAAAATGCAATGAGAGCAGAAGATCTATCATAAACAATTATAGAGATAAATACAACTGTTCTGATAAATATGTGCAAAGTGTCTAAAATAATTTTTAACTTTACAAAACAATAGAGTTGAGCCACAAGCACCATATTGGCTGAACAAAGTTCCAATACACATGAAAAAGCTACACTCCAGCAGCCAAAGGTATATTGAGAAGAATGTTCTGGATGGCCAAGTGGTAGAATGTTTAACCAAATATAAATGAATATTGCAGATAACACACAACTTAGAGGCACTGATAACCAAATTTGGTTAATGACCTGGTTCCAATTGAATTCACCCTTTTGACCCAAGCAAGCACGATGGAAGGGCTCTCGGCTTAGGAATAGTATAGTACTTTCAAGCAACAGTAACCTGACATTCATAATACCAATAACATCGTGACCAACATTTCTAATAACCCATGCATTAATTATGAATGTTACACATCTAAACAATATTTGCAGAAGTATATTAAAGGATGCATTTTCAAGGCTACTCATCAATAAATTGCGACCCATTTTTATATCTATGTTGATCACACATTAACAGCAATCTCAGATGATGATGTATGTATGCTTCTTTTCACAACATATATCTTCTTATTGGATATACATATAGAAAACCAGTGGTCATCATATGTTATAGATATTTTTTTGAACTTTTCTTCAGGTCCAAATGCCACTGGATCAATACTGTAACAGAAAGTAATATTCATATTAGTATTGAATACAATTTTATTATGAAATATTGATCTATTGTTGTCTAACATGTTATACGGTACAGATTTTTTGTGATTTATGAGTCAGAATGGTTCGTCAATGTATCTAACCTGTTTGACAAACTGATAAGATCTGTAATAATAGTCGCAACACGTTCGTCGTTCTCCAAATCTCCACCAGACTCGAGGACTGCCCCGTCCTCCGTCAATATCAGATACCCGAGTTGGTCTGGAATTTTTTCCATTATAGCTGAAATTATTCAACAAAAGGCAATAAAATACAGTAATCATAAACGTTTAAGTAGTTTAAAAGAATCATAAACATATATCTAAACTTGCCTTAATTTACATGACAATTGACAAGTAATTGACGTCTAGTTTTAAAACGTTTGAGATCTTTTTTAGACGTCAGACACTTAAAACTTAGGTACAAAGTTTTACAGTTTTTATTGGAGCTTAAAATATTATAATCCCTTTTCCATATATAATCTAAGCATCAATTTATGTAATTTTTACAAAAGTTTATATCTAACTTTAACCTTTAAAACTTTATATTTTAATGTCAAAAGTTTATGATTGCCTTACATTACTTACTTAAATTACATGAAGAGAAACAGTATATACATATATTACAGAATTAATTAGAAAATACAAAATTCATATTTTAGTTTTTATTTAAAAAATACAACAACAATATTTGTAGAATATTTCATAATATCTTTTATTTTGCCTTATGCTGTTGTGTGACTCATATATTTTGTCATATGTCATATTGTATCCACTATCCACATCCAGTATTGTATTGGTAATTGGTAATTACAAACTGTCAGTGAAAGTTGAGAATCAATCGTCCTTTTTGCTGATCCCAAAATTTTAGAAAAATCGTTTTAATTAGTGGTTAACGGACACACAACAGGATATATTCACAAGGTACTACGACTATACATGAAAGTAAAATTTCTCAATATGTTATTAGATACCGTCATCCTCGTCGCTGCGACGCATATTGAAACAACTGCAATAGGCTATTGATATAAAAATTTTAGATTAGCGTTCCGTAGTGATATTTACAATAAACTTTAAGCTTGACGATTATCATAATCCCAAAGAAAATGTATTTCAAGATGTTTATACCATACATTCATAATATTAACTATTAATAGGTCGTGAAGTCAATTTATAATTAACGTGCTATTATTTCTCTTGTGAACATGCATATTGATTCTACTCTTTTGAATACCACGATAGACTGATTTCTCCTACTTTTTGCGCGTAAAATATATTGCAATCTTATATTTATCGTTATCGATCGTAAATAACATAAACAAATCATAGTACAATGTAATCACAACTTCTATTTTCGTTAAATAAAACAATTTTTCATATATTTTTTTAATAATAAGTATGTCACAAATGATTGAATATGATATTATTGTTTAATGTTCACTTGAAATTATATTTTGAAATATATGTATTTATTTTTTTAGCACAAAATGTTGAGTTTCCGTCCCAAATTGGGGACAGAAAGGAGCAGTGAATATCTCTGCTGTTTCTGCCTCCATGTGAGAACTGGTACCATTTTGCTAGGATCATGGCATTTGGTAAGTAAATCTTTTAACTTTTACAAATAGAAAGTATTCATAATTATTCAATTGAGCCATTTAACATTTTAACTACAATTAACCAAAATTTTGAATGTCTTTTTATCCATCAGTAACATGTGAAAATTTAATAATCAAAGCAATGTTTATAAGATCTACTATTCATTCATTTCAGTAAAACATATTACATAGGTACTATATATTTTACTCACTTTAAATGAAATCTATCATATAAAAGATAAAGTATGATACAGATTTAAAGAAACATAAAAAATTTTGGATTACATAACATATTTTTTATATTTAGGTCCTTTTCTCAGTGACCAATGTAGGCAACGCATCTGCCACATCTCTTATGCTATGGATGTCATTGGTCAACAGTGACTACTTTCCATCAAGTAGGCTGTCTGCTTGTTAACCAACTTTGATATAAAAAATAATTATTATAAAACTATTCTCTTAGATTTTACACCTCATTGCTCTCGGATTCTTGGTGGCAGTTGTACGAGACCCCAGACTTCTAGAGAATTTGGAGCGTGATTCCTCTTCAGTTGCAAACTGGGGCGATATTGGAGCCCCCATGCCCACACCTCTATCTAATGTTGAGACTCGTCCAAGCCCATATCCTCAACATGAAGTTCACATTCGTGATTACAGCTTCATTGACCGTAAGTATATCTATAGTACTATCTATGTTTCTATATATTTGTGTTCATATATATATACATATATATATACCTCAACCCACATTCACCTGTAGTATTCAATAAAAATATATTAATTTGGTAATATGTGTATTATGCTAAGTAGCAAGACTGAACGATAGAACCTAACATAATGAAGTGATCTGTCTACATTACAGTTGACATTGTAATATTATTTAACATTACCAACCAAGTATTACTAATACATAACATGACCTTCACCCAAAACATAACCTTGGATAAATCCATCCTATGTGATAAGGTTCCTTGTTATTATAAATTCCATATTACATAACAAAGCATATTTTATTCATGACATTATACCTAATTTCAATTAGCTTTTTACTTAGCTATTTATAACATTGTAGTAGCAACTAATGTCAGAAATCATAAGTATATTTTGTTTATACATTTCATTTAAATGTATAAACTATTATGCTGATTATTGGGCTGAGTCATGGATAAAAATTATTATATACACAATTTTTTTTATACATAAAATAATGACTCAGAATTTCATAATGTTTTTCAAGCACAAATTGTGTCATATAGCCACTTTAGCAAATTGAATTGCTAATAAATTGAGTTATAGGATAAATTTTCCTTATTTTTGATATGGATGTAATTACATAAAGTTATCATTATATGCAAATTTTTGATTCATCAAATTCCTCGAATAATGTATCGAATAAAAATATGTATCATCGAATCTGATTTATAAATCAAGAGTTACATAGATTGCATAAATTTTACTATGGAATTACTTAATACTTAATAGTATTAATAATAACAATATTTTTACTATGAATTGTTTTTCTTTCTGTTATTTTAGAATTTCATACTCATTTATAAATCACAAGTTATATTGCATAACTTTGACTATGGAATTACTTGATACTTAATAATATTAATAATAACAATATTTTTACTATAAATTGTATGTTTTTTGTTCTTTATTATACTATACATGACATCTACATGTGCTAAATATAGATGATGTGGATGTGGGTGCGCTGGTTACAGTGTGTACACTGGCCATCACTCTCATGCTGATATACGGAGCGGCTCGTGGCAAGCCAGCACATCTGCTGCCGTTCTTCTGTCTACTGATATTCAATTTCGCTATCACTGTGTGAGTATTACTTGAACATTAAATCTATAGCTTTTCTTTTGGTACTATATACAGGATGACTGGTGAATTACTATCGATACTTGAGGACGTGATATTTGACGATCATATATGACAAAATAAAAATTAATATAACATAAATATTAATAAACTTCTAAGTAAAGTTAACCAAAAGTTATGTAATTAATTACGCATCGTATGAACACCCTACAGATTAGGTATACACACACACACACACACACACGCGCGCGGCGGCGTGGTGTTGTATCAGCACGCTGCCGCACGCGTCCACACTTGGAACACTTGGAATGTGTACACACTTTATTTATTTATACGGAAATTTGGTTAAAAATTAAGTACCTATTTTTTTTACATAATTCGAATGAGAATCATGTACCGAGTATGCTCCTTAAATATTGATAGTAATTCACCAGTCACCCTGTATATGTATATTTGTTTTATGTCTAAGATATATCTTATTCTATACTTAATATGAATATACATCTTATGCATATAATTATGTTTAAACCAACTCTTAAAAAAGTAGGAAGTTCTGAATTCATCGGAATCTTATAATAATTCATATTAATAATACTTTATATTGTCTGTACTGCAACAACTCAAAAACTTGCCATAGAACGCAATATGTATATACTGCTGATATTGAAATAATGTTTCTGATATGTGACTTACACTTAATATTCAATATTTTAATGCTAAGAATAATTTTAATCTAAGCTTACATTTTTATATAACGGTTAGTGATTTTCATAGTAATAGTTTGAAGTAATATTAAAGTGAGTTAAGCTAATGTTTTAGTTAGAATTCAAATACAAAATCACAGCTGATATGAAATATTAAGGAAGTTGCTACTTCAAATCCTGTTTGTGTTGATATTTTTTTATATATTTTAATTTCAATTCACTAATGGACATATATGTACATCTTGTAGGCTAACGGCGACCGGCTATTTGTGTTACCTTCGCTCCATACATCAACTCGTCGCTGAAACACGATTGGTGCCATGGCGTGAGGAACTGCTGTCACTGCCGGCGCCCGCTCTTGCTCTTATAGTGCTCGCCGCTTTAATGTTCGACGTACTTCTCAAGGTAATTATGGATTTTGTGGTTTATGCTTGTACACCTCAAAGTACTTAGGGGTCGTTCAAGTATTACGTAAGCACTGTTGAGGGGCGGGAGGTCTTTGCTTTGCTTATTTTGGATGACATGGGGAATATGGGAGTCTAGGTTATTTACTTTTTTATCGTCACATCGAGTAGACCCTTAAAAAAATATAATTATATTTTTTCTGGATTTATATATTAAAAAAAACAATACAGTAATTGAAAATGTTTATATAAGCATGGGGGGAGGGGGTAAGAGCTTTGCTTACTTTTGCTGACAAGGGGGATGGGGGGGTAAAAAATTGAAATAAATCTGCTTACTTAATACTTGAACGGCCCCTTATGGGTGATGTACATAGTTGGAGTTTGTAGTCTTTGAAGTAATTTTGTATGTTGGTGGCAATGGTTTCTTTGTCTAAATAACTTCTTCTACCTGACAATTTCCCGGCTATAGCCAGCCAGGGTCTGCGTTACATGTTAATATAGTTTTGGCTAATTGTTTTTTACGACCAGCCGCCTGCCTGACATCAACCCTCTTTTGGGAATCAGCATTAATGTTGTCTAAATATTCTTAGAAAGTACATATGACTCGGAAAAATCATTTTTGTCTCAATTACTCTAACTACAATCTTATAATATTTCACAGGGCTATTGCATCAGTATTATATGGCGCTGCTACAAGTACCTTACAATGAGGAGCCACGCTGTTCACAACTTGACACCGTTCGTGATCTCCAGCGAGGGTACAGTCACACCGGCCTACCCTGCGCCAGATTACTCAAATCTGTTGCCCGACTACGAAGAGGCTGTAAAGCAGACACCTCCGCCTTCATACAGGGTTGCAACGCTGATGGCTGACAATAACCAAGCTGTTGTAAGTACTATTATTGTTATATTCTGGTATTTATACTGAAAATTCTATATAAGCTCATATATACTTTACAATAATATAGCCAACTAGCTTAACGACAACTAGCCAACGCGTTATATCGCGTTTCCAAGAGAACCTTTCAAAAGTCTGGGATAAAAACTATCCTGTTCTTTCTCAAGGTCAACTCTCTGTACCAAATTTCATTAAAATCAGTTCAGTGGTTTAGGCGTGAAAGCGTAACAGACAGACAGAGTTACTTTCGCATTTATATAGTAATATAATATTAGTAGGGATTAGTATGAATAGTAGACATTGAGCATACAATATGATGCAATCATATTATATGTATGTGCAAATTGAACTGGAAGCATCAAGTATATAACATAATAATTATATACACACAATGTATTTATATATATAAATGTTTGTTTCAGCCATCACAACCCCAACAGAACTCATCTCCTGCGACCAACACTGTAGTAATGCTGCCTCAACCCGGCTGTCAGGCCCGAGTTTAAATACACTATTTTCAACTTACTTAGTTCACTTTAAAATATTATTTCTGTAACCTATTGTGCTGTCTCTCATAATTCATTAATTCTTGCTCAATACACCGTTTTTATGTGGATCTGTCTGAGTAATATTTATTTTGATTGAAATTTTTTTTTTGACTATTTTTTACTAATATTCAACTGTTGTATTTAAATATTTTGTTTCTTTTTTTTGTTTTAATCATCATTTTTTTTTTGCGAATTATATTTTCGGATTTAACTCTTATATAAATAACATTTGATCTTAAACTGGCTTTTTGATCAATGCGTTAATTAAAAAAATATGTACCTGTGAAAATCTTGGAAATTATATTTTTTTATTTTGTTATTTAATGAAATTTTAGAATACGTGCCATTTTGAAGACATTTTTGTTATGTAAAATCTTCTCCAGAAACATTTATTGATTGAACATTCCAAATATATTAATTAAAAAGCTTTATTACTTCGTCTACAGTGAAGTTTTAAACATAAAGGATATATGTAATGTTATTGACATGAATTCAAAAAAAAAATTAATTTATGTAATAACTTCTCAAAAAAACTATGTTATCTATGGCTATGATTTCTAACAATATCCTTATTTTTTTAACTAATACCTAAAAAAATTAAAAATAAAATCATTAACATCATAAACACATTGTATAGCAATTGCAAACTACAACTTTTTTCAATGTGATTATTTTTTTATCTGTAGCATTGGATTGATTGCAGTTTAAAAAAAAGCATTTCAAGCATACAAAAATATCTATGCTTTATATATAAATTTAGAGAAAATTCAAAATTCGTTCTTTTCTTAAATAGAACGTAGTTGCCATCTTAAATTGAAATAAATAAAAATGGCAAATGGACTTTGTTCAAGCCGCGAGTAGTTTCAGAAAGGCCTAAACTAATTTGTATTGTTAAATTGTATGTAAATCAATAATGTACTTATTGTCTATGATATAGTTTTTGTGTGGTATATTTACCATTTTATTATCATTTATATCGGACTACGACATATGTTTTTTTAATATTTTTTTCTGGTTTGCATATAATTGAAATCTGTTTATATAAATAATTTATATTACTTTTGTGGTTAGCTTAAATCCTGTTAGAATAGTGTTAAGAATAAGGTCTATAAAAATCTGTGTGTAAACTAAGCACTAAATTATTGACTAACTGTGGTAGAAATGTATTTATCTGAAATAAAATATAGTCTGAAATGTTGTACTTTATTTATTATTCTTTTTAACTACCACTAACAAGAAAAACGGTTTTAGTTGATCACATTTTTTAATTCTTAATACTTTTTGGGTAAATTAGTCTTTAATCGGAATTAAAATAACTACTTAATTCTTTTTACGCGATGTGAATTTTCTGTGACTTTAACATATACAGGTTGACTGGTGAATTACTATCGATATTTGAGGACGTGATATTTGACGATCATATATGACAAAATAAAAATTAATCTTCTATACAGGGTGACTGGTGAATTACTATCAATATTTAAGGAGCATACTCGGTACATGATTCTCATTCGAATTATGTAAAAAAAATAGGTACTTAATTTTTGACCAAATTTCCGTATAAATAAATAAAGTGTGTACACGTTCCAAGTGTTCCAAGTGTGAACGCGTGCGGAGGCGTGCTGATACAACAACACGCCGCCGCGCGCGTATGTGTGTGTGTACCTAATACCTAATCTGTAGGGTGTTCATACGATGCGTAATTAATTACACAACTTTTGGTTAACTTTACTTAGAAGTTTATTAATATTTATGTTATATTAATTTTTATTTTGTCATATATGATCGTCAAATATCACGTCCTCAAATATTGATAGTAATTCACCAGTCACCCTGTATATATAAAAATGGATTGCTGTTCCTTAGTCTCGCTAAAACTCGAGAACAGCTGTAATGATTTATCTTATCTTAGTCTTGAAATGTTTGTGGAGGTTCAGGGAAGGTATAAAAGGTAAAAAAAATTAATTCATTACTGGGAAAACCATAAAAACAGCCCTTTTTTATTTCCCATACAAACGTTTTTTTTGACATTAGATTTGACAACTAACTAATATGTCAATAATTCTGTCGCACTTCAAAACACGGAAACTCCAAAAATATAAATAAAAAAACGTAATAGATTTTTCTTGATTATAGGGCGATACGAAGTGCGCCAGGTCTTCTAGTATAACATAAATATTAATAAACTTCTAAGTAAAGTTAACCAAAAGTTATGTAATTAATTACGCATCGTATGAACACCCTACAGATTAGGTATACACACACACACACTCGCGCACGGCGGCGTGTTGTTGTATCAGCACGCCGCCGCACGCGTCCACACTTGGAACGTATACACACTTTGTCAAAAATTAAGTGCCTATTTTTTTTACATAATTCGAATGAGAATCATGTACCGAGTATGCTCCTTAAATATTGATAGTAATTCACCAGTCACCCTGTACATTACACATTAAACTTATATAGATATTTGAACGAACATGGACCAACTTTCTCTTGTAGTTCTAAAAAATGAATTTTACATACATTTTAATGAACACATTTAATAACAATCTCATTTTTGGATCAGCATTTAAATATTATTGCATTTAAGTGTTTTTGTCGAGTACAGAAAATAATTTGTCATCATTACGTAATCGAGTTTAGCTTATCTGACAATTTATTCTACGATTTAATTTAAAAATAATGCCTCAGTATTTTTTTTTTACATTTTAGTTCATGTGATATCTATTCGTGAATATTTAAGTCCACTTTTGGCTGATAGTAACATTTGTTTACACGGCATTTAAACTTTTTTTGTGAGTTATTAAAACGTTCAAAAAAATAGTATTCTTAAAGTAGCTTAAAATATTCGAAAATATCTGCCTACACTAACAATTTTAACTTTAATCACGTTTTTAAGCTATTCTAAAATCTTTAACTATATATCAAACTTATAAAAATTTAAAAAACAACAATTATGACAGTCTTAAATTATACTTATCTAATTCTTTTAAATCTTACAAATTCCGTTAATACACCCACCTACGTAATGTTTATCAGCCGACATTACAATATAGAAAGGTCAAAGTTATGAACGTAATTTACAAACAATGCATTGCACATGCGCGGCTGACGAGCGACCGCGCCGTCGTACGACGCGTTCTATATTTATATTGACTCCCCGCGAGCACACGCAAGCGCAGTGCGCACCTGAAACGCCGAAAGTGAAAATTGCAATGATACCGCTCGGTGTTGGGTTATACGAGCCGGCACATTGATAATTAAAAGTGCAAAGACGAAACCGGCGCAGTGTCCATTGCAGCGTTAGGATGGCTGATGGCTGCACGGCACCAAAACTCCCCGATACTGCGGTAGTCGTACGTCACGGATCAGCTGAGTCGCCGGCTATTGGCGTACGATCGTGACGTCCCATACTTCAACAAACGCCGGCACCATGGCTTCCACCATGCAGCTCGAATTCACTCAGGCGATGACGGATTTCAAGACGATGTTTCCTGATATGGATGACGATGTTATCGAGGCGGTGCTCCGAGCGAACCAGGGGGCGGTTGATGCAACCATTGACCAACTGCTAGCAATGAGTACCGACAACCAGAATGAAAGACTTCGTCTGGAGATGGAGCGCGTTGAGAGCAGTTCACCGTCTCGGAAGAAAGAGCGGCGTATTATTTGTCGTAACGTCCAAAACGGTGAAGACAATGATACCACAGCTCTTGTGTAAGTACACAATGATCTGATTACATCCCTGGAGATTTAGAATGCAATCTAATTGCGTCCAGGCTATAAAAAGTGAATTATGTTTTTACTGTGTATTTATACATGGTAGGGAGTAAAACGTCTTTTAAGTTTTAACTTCTAATTATATTGGATCTTGTTCTTAAGTTTTAGATCGCTTACTGCAAGAGTTCTTTATTATTAAATTATCTATTACTACATATTTTTTTGCGCTCTAAAAAAGTTTTTAAATGATTAAGTTAATAAATATCTATATTAAATTTAACTGAATTATAAGAAAGATTTTTAAAACGACTTTTAAAATCGAAAACATAATATGTATAATAAAGCGATCGTTTAATTGAAATCATTTCTCTTGAAAAATATTGTAATTGAATTATTATTTTTACTAATTTAATAAGGATACATAACATGAGTTATCTAGAAACGTAAGTATTGAGCTACAAACTTAACTTTGATGTTAGAGAACACCGTAGATCACTTGAAGTGGTTGTTAGTTTACCAACTTCTTATAAATTTATGATATCACTGCAAAAATTACCTTATTCCTTTATAATAATACATAAAATCGCTTCGTACCAAATTGAAATTCAATGGGATGCTCCCCTATTACCCATATGTATGAATTAAACCATTTTGTCACTTTGATTTCATAGACACATTCTTGCATTGGTTACTGAAAGCGGGATTAGTATGCAATATAAATATTAATAATTCTAATTAATGCTTGCAATACAATACGAGCTATTTAACGTTTCCTATAACGATATCAATTGAGAATTCACCATAACGACAAAACAAATTAACAAATAAAACAATTATGATATTTAGTACACGACTTTCTCCTACGTGTTTTAAAGTTTTCTATTACCTTTTTTGAATAAAATATATAGAAAATTTTAACAGTACGCTGAACACATACGCGAACACTACGCACGCGAAATGTTAAAAAAAAATATATTTTAAATAAATAGTAAATTTTAGAGTTTAAAACATTATTTTACTATAGAAGTTAAGCAAAGAAATATTAACATTTTTCATTGGACATTAAGAAAACTGTATTTATATATGACGATCGATGTTTCCTTGATTATAAGACGAAAGTATCTATGGTTTATTGTACCTCTAGTTTACAGGCTTCTATAAATTCCAATTTCAAATATCATCAGAACACTTCGCTTCCTCAAAGCATTGGCTCGATGCCAAACTGAAACGTTTATACCATATTAATTTGCTTATATACATTCTGCAAAGTTTTAGTATACTTATACCATTCCTAACATTGCAATAATGAACGGAATATTACACGGAATTTCGCCGCCGCAATGAAATAGGGAATGTCAGAACAAAACCCAAGACATAAATCCTTTTAATTCTCTAGAAGAATCTATTTATGTAATTGCAAATGTAGAAAACTATTTATACGTTTTACTACTTAAGGGTTTTAGTTATAAAAAATATCATTGAACAGATATATTTTTTTATCTTTTTTGTTGCTATACTCCTTTAACGTTATCTTTTATTAGTTGCCAATTAATTTAAGTGCCTATTACAGATTAAAAATATTTAGTCGATTTACATAAAACAAGGAAATTATTATTTTGATAAGTTTTGGAGAACTGCGGTAAATATATGCCTGATTTTGAATCTATGTTTTATTAAGGATGTATAAAGACAGAACTCATTTATGGATATGTTAAATGAAGCTTACATTAATAGGTCTTAAATAAGTCTGTCTAATGACACTAAGATGGCGGAAGTAATTTCATAATAAAATGGAATATTCTTTGAAGAAATGATGTAGAATATTATGGAATGGAAAGTTCTACATTAGATAATCTTATCGAATTGGTTTTAAAAGACTACTTACATTAATTTTAGACCATTAAATCATGGATCATTCAAGAAATACAAAGTTACACATAAAATAAAACAAAGGATTATATGAGCTATGCAAAGATCATGAAACAAAAATGTATATGCAGTAGTCTGGACTTTAGAACCCATTTTGGGATACTTAGATAATACGTCATACATAATTGGCTTTGGTAATTATGATGATAATGGTGGCATCCTGCTGCCTGCTCTTAATTCGGTGAATGGCAGTTTTTGTTCCCTGTCTTAGTATGTACTGCCTGGATTAAATTATATCAAGGAAAAAGACTTAGTCCCTTTCACACAATGTATATTTAAATACAGGTTTATTTTTTTATTTACTCGTATATTTTCAGAACATTTTTGTTATTTAACACGAAATTTTGACAACAAATCTTTGTATTAATGGAGAGTTAAGACTAAATGTCATCTACGTTTTTAAATGCGACAGTATATTATGTAGTTTTTAACATATACTACTCGTGAACTCAAATCACTTTTGTTATTTGTAACGGAGTGTAAATAGCAAAAAAACAAATATCTCGATTAAAAAATTTTATCATTGGAAATATGCAAACTTTAGTGTATCACAATTTTCATCACAAGTTAAGAAACACCGTTATTTAAAAATAGTTTTTGTCATTCGTTGAAAGATTTTTTCTTGCTTGAGTCATTATTATAAAAAAATTACCGTCATTCCGTTTGTAATAAATCTTTATTAAAAATATATGTATACCTATATATTTTCCATCCTCTTAACGAAGCGAGTCAGAAAAAATAGTATTAATATTTCAAATTTTTAACATTGTATCACTGATCTGATAAGAAGAACGTTAATTTTAACTGATCTTAGAACAGTTAGAAAAATATGTCTCCATAGATCTATAACTGTATAGAAAATATATAATATAGCAGGTAAATAAAGTGTTCACTATAACCATAGAAACCGTGACCTACCGACAAACTTCGTTTTTTGGTAACATGAATACAATAATTGTTTTGTAGTAGCGATCAAAGTGCCGATATAATACTAATAGTTATATCTTTAAAATGATTATGTATAAAAACATTGAGGTTAAGTTTTACTAACAAGCCGATTTAACTTTCACTAAACAATCATATTTATAAAAAGTTATTTGTTTATTACAGAGACGTTGAAGACGAGTCTATACCTCTGTCGGTTAAGAAGAAATGGGTGCCAAGAATGCTTGGTCCTTTACCGCCGATGTTTCTTCGTATACCACCCGGGACCGACGCAAGAATCGACCTCAGCTTGGACATGGATGACGATAGAATTGCAACATTCCTCCAGAACGAAGAATTCATGGCTGAGTTAAGATGGAATCAAGAGTTTATAGCAGCATTGGACAGCGAACAAGGCGGAAAAACCAAATGCCATGACGACGAAGCCGCTTTTAAGGAGAGACTTAAAAATATGGGAAAATGTAAGTATACTATTAGGTCAAAATTATATATTTTTTATTTATATGGCTGATTAAGTAATTATTTGTATTTCAGTATCAAGAAAGAAATTCGCACAGTTATCTAGAATGTTCACGCGCGGTGGTTCACGCAAGAGTGGTAACGCGAAGGTACCTTCTCGTGGCCCGCCTGACAGTCTGCTGCTTCAAGAGGAACACAGTGATGATGACGATAGACCGCAGACGTTAAACATCAAGATATAACTGTTATATCACGTTAGAATGTCGGAAAGACTACGGAAGGCCTTAATTTATCGGAGTACCACAAGGTTTCGTACAAGACTGGGTTCGTTAGATAAGATTGCGTAGGTTGTTGGAAGTCTTTATGAATGTACATTGTTATTATAAATTGTTATCAGAACACGGATGGGGTTGAGATATAACAATGATATCGGTAATTGAAATGTAAATAGTTGTTGTACCGTCGGATTCCATTGCATACATTGCTTTGTTTCATCTATGAATTTAGATTCTTCCGCTAACGGTATCTTCTGTTATCTTCTTATAAGGTACTTGTTTTGTTGTTTTCTAGCGTATATTTTATCCTTCACTATTCATATATAATTTCAATCACCTTTCAACGAACGCTATACCAATTATAGTATATTATTTAATTTCGGTCCAATTTTAATAATTAGTACCACTAATAAAATTTCTGTGTATACATGTGCATTTTTAATTATTGAATTAATAAAAATATTACTAATAAGTGATACAATCTAGGTACTAACGGAAACGAAAATAAAAGGTTTTTTATAACAAATCTATTAATAAACAAGAAGTACCTGGGAAGGACATTTTGTATATACATTAAAATTTATTTATATTAGTAAAAAATATTAGTTAAATTTACACAATGATAATTCGTTATCTAAAAGAAATTTTTGAACGATAGATGCTTGTCACAAAACAGGTTTACAAATTCCATCTGCGTTTTATTTGCTTCCAGATCGAGGTTTTATGTTTTGACATTGAGTCGATGTTGGTATGAATCTTATGATTCTTTAACATTTCATAGCGTGAAGATGTATCATAAAGAGTTTGTCGGTTAATCAGTACGCTGTACATGTTATGGAGAAAGAAAAATAGCTTTCCGTCGCACTTATTTGCATTCACGTCAATATGCAGTCAGCCGTGGCCCATAACAAACATATTCACACTCCACAGGAAATGAGAGACGGACCACTTGATAAATTAATGCTTATTATAACCAAGATTACACGACGTACCTGTTGAGATACGATGCAAATAATATAGTATAAAAATGTCTTTAGAATAATTAATAATGAACAATATAGTCCCTAATTTCACATGTCCCATTCTTCCGAAGATTATCAGAATTATATAATAGTAATTTAATTTCATCTTGTATGTGATAGAATAGAATACATTGATAGTAGTATAGGAATACATATCACGTGTGTTTAATGACGCGTGATGTGATAACAGAAACTTGGGAGTCGACGACGCGGAACGCGAAAGTTGAAAAAGACTTCGACGATGCTGACCGAATAGAAAATATATTACATCTATGTTTATAACCAACTTATATTGAGATGTTTGTATGTGTTTTACTGAATTTGGAAGAAATGTTACTTATGTCTTGTCTTCTTCTACCTGGCTATTTCCCAGCTATAGCCAGGGTCTGCCTTACATGTTGTGAATAGTTTTGGCTAATTGTTTTTACGACCGGCCGCCTGCCTGACATCAATGATCAACCCTCTTTGGGAATGTTATGTCTTGTAATAGGTTCAAATAGAATACCACATAAAATATAAAAAAGTTAAAAGTTTATTTTAAGTAAGTACACTAAACGTTGATTACTTTTCGTAAGCTGAAGCATTAATAGCTATCGTTTTGGGTTCTCTTGATATTTCATCATAATTAACGTGAAGGCATATAGGAAAAGGTGTTTATATCGCATTTATAGTATAAGTAATGGCTGTGAATTATGAATGGCTGTAAACATATTTTTTATTTTATCAATATTTATATTCTGGATCCTCGGATGCCTAATTAATGTTTCTATTAATGTATCCTGCTATTAAAATTATTCAAAAGCAGGAGCCAACGGAATAACTGGTCAAGTCTACATTTAAACTGGTTGTGTTACAGCATCGTGTTTAATCAAGAAATGAGAAGTAATGAGATAAATATTTTCTTATGCATAAGGCAAACAGAGGGCTTTGAGCTCCCGTATTCCACAATTTACGACGCGACGTTTAGTCGCAACTATTTTATGGAAATACCAGTCTTTTATTGAGCTGAGAATAAGTACACTTTTTTGGTTTTATTTCTGAGTTATTTTAAATCGATTACACGGATGATGAACGATCTTTTTATAAGGATAAAATTCGACCTGTTGTTTGGTGTTTGTGACGTAATTTCAAGAAACTAGCTTGGCAGAGCGCGAAACTTGTGTCTAGTGATGTTCTCGATGCACGCACGTGCATCCGTCACGCTTCGAAGACAATCCGACATTTAGTCCGTCCTTAGCCTTCGCGGCACACGTACGTACCTCAGTGACTATGTATAAGTGTACACCGGGCGTTATATGTAACAAGTCATAACTCTTAAAGAAACTTTGTGAGTATAAAGATTTTGAATTTGTTTTGTCTATTACGACTTATGCATATTAATTGTGCTAATATATGTATGCATTAGAAAGCTTTTATTGTTTTTAATTTATAATTATTAATTTATGCTCCGTTTTCTTTCTTTTCGTTTGTAGATGTTAAAGAATAGCTGTACTAATAATTTGTTTTTTTTTTTTTTGGAATAATTAACTTTTTAAGTGTTAAAGTGAAGGCCAACATGTTTACTATTAGTAAGGTAGTATAGTGAAATAAAAACGAGACGGTTTTTTTTACAGAACTTAATGATATTCCATGAAATCTTGGGTTGAAAATATAGAGCGGCCCTAAGTGATCCTATATAGTTTTTAAACCTTTAAAGTAACATTAGATTTATGAAAAAACTTTTCTAGGGTTATGAAAACAATGGCTATACTTATTTATGTTTTTGTTATAAAAACACATTGACACTCTTTATACTGATCCTGAACTGATTTTTGAACTTGGTCTATTTTTTAATTTCAATCCATACATGCATCTATTAAACAAAATAACATAAAAGTAGAATTAGCTTGTCTTAAACTAAAATAAAAATGACTAACTAATAAGATTAATTATTATTAATGTAATATAAAAATATTCCTTATGGAAAATTAAATATACCTACATAGATAAAAAATACATTTTTATGGCATTGCGATTTCTGTTAAAAATTATATTGCCAATCTAGACATCTCCAAATTAAGTTTTCCCAATATATATGTCGTAACAATTTTTGTTTAAGAAAATAATGAAAAAAAAAACCTGAACATGATAGTTTTTCTGTTAACGATAATAATAATTCATACTGTATAGTGTATACTCTATTCTGTAAAGTTGATCGTTAAACATATTCAGTGTCATGCGCTGCGTGTCCATGAATAAGTAATAATTTCAAGTTACAAATAATAAGAAACGAAAACAAGAACAACTAACTCATTGAACAACTTCGAAGAACATTTTTTTAATTTACATATACAACCTTTTTTGAGTTACGTAAATTACACTTGCCGCATTTTATTTAAGCTTTCACGTTATAAACGCTTACTGATGTTAAAAAGATTATATATTTTTTACTTGAAATAATTAAATAGAAATTTCTCAAATATTGAGTTTAATGTGCTTACCTCGAGGTTGCAACGTCCGACGAAATAGTTTCTTGTTATTCATTCATAAATTAACGGACATTTAAGTATTAAAATAAGTAGAGATGCTTGAAAAAACTCGATTTTGTCTGTATTTAGTTCGACGATGCAAACTCGTGTTAAAGTAGATCATTAAGCTTAATTATCTTTAACCCCCGACGCAAAAAGAAGGGTGTTATATATAAGTTTGAAGACGGTGTATGGTTGAGTGTATCTGTCTGGGATCCGAGCTCTCAAGAAGATCGTTCGATTTCTTTGCGATTTTTTTCATTTCAAAGCCAGTTTTCTTGCGGCAAATCTTAGCTGGGTTTGGGTGTGAGAGTATCAGCTCTTCCAAAATAATGTAAAGCAATTGGCGTATAATAACTCGATTAAGTGCTCATGCTTTCTTATAAATAAGTTGAATTACAATGAACGCGTTGGAGGTTTAAAAGCGTAATAAAATGTGTAACTAATACACGTATAGTAAGAAGTGATGCAGTAAGCTTTATATTTAAAACATTTGCCGTTCATCGCAACTAGTTAGACAACTTCGCTTTCGTTTACATAATGCATTTATCATATTTTATTGCTACATAAAATATAAAATTCTTCCCTCTGCATCGTCCGTCGAAATGCTTGGAAACGATAACTTTTATTCACAAAACTCACCATAGATAATAATTATATTTCAAAATGTCTGTACGCATTGGTTTAATTTTATTATAATAACAATTAATATTGATCGTTTTTTTTTACTAGAGACATATGAGGCAATTAATATGAGACCTTCACCAAAACTAAATATAGTCGTGAAACCTCTTAAATAATCACCAATCATTCACCTTTTTATATATCAATTCTATTATGAGAGAATTCATAAAATATAATTTACAGTTTTGGCAAGACAGAAAAACAAACAACCATAAATTACAAACTTTCCCATCCATATTCATAATTCTATAACATAAGGATTCTAAATATGCATAATAAAATCACTAATTGATTTAAATCGCCTGACACATTAATTCCTGTCTTTGTGTATATTAATGTCAAAAGCTAAATAGCTGGTGTTAACATAGATACAATATGTTTAAAATGTAAATTTATCATTATATTGAATTGTAAATTATAATTCGTGAAGAGAAAATATTTAGAATGAAATTAATAAAGATAAAAAGCGATTTATTATTTTACAACTATGTACTTTTGTTTTATGTTCGATTATTTTTAAGAACATTTTTAACTTGAATGTTTCTGCTATGTAATATAAATATTTATTTCTAAAACAAAGAAAGGGGGTTTAAACGATTTGAACATTATATAATATTTTATTTTAAATATCATATAATTAATTGATGCATATATTAAACGCTCAATAATATGAATTTAATTTATACAATTCATTCATTTGATTTATTTTTATTGCCAGTGTTAAATAGTTTGGAAAGAGGAAATAAAAAGCATT